ATCGCCGTTATTTTCCTATCGCTTATCTCATTAGAGGAAATCTAAAGAATAATCTCTATATTCGAGCAATCGAAAACGATGACTCTAAATGACTCTTTAATCGTTATAAATAGTTTTTACTTTTTTCCGATATTTTTCCAGAACCACATATTAACTTAGTCCGGATAAAGAGCAAAATTACGATATCGTGGTATCGCTTTTTGCCTTATCTTGCTATCGATACGTCGATTATCGGTAAACCAGCATAACGAAACTACTCTTGCAGCACGTCTTCTAAATTAATCTTATATAAATTTCAATCCAGCACTATTCTGTATGAAAATAATATTTTATGAAGTAACCTCGATTTTCATTGAGAATGACACTAATTTCTTTTATTCGATGTTTTATTTCTTTTCATTATGAAAAATTCATTCAGTTTCATACTTTTTATTATACACTGGTCATATAATATTTCTCGACTGTATTTTTTAGCTATGGGCATGTCACGTTTCACACTTAAAAGTTAATTTAATACAATAAAGCATCACTTCTCTCTTATATTATCCAATGTGCATACTACATGTTGACGGCGGTAACGAAATTTTGCATGAACGTAATATTACTTGAAAATTTCATGTCGCGCTGCATTACGAATGTCTATTGTGGCACATATGTTACATGGCGTTATGCATTTCATAACGTTCACTTCATTAGAAAAAAAAAAATGTATTCTCACAGGCATTCCTATAAAGTCACCGGAGAGCAGTGCCGGTGCGCCAATTTAATATCTTCGCGTGCTCGAACGTATACGTTACGCGTCCTTAAATTAGGCTCGCTTATCGCTCATGGACTTCGTACACGGAGATAATACACGGCCGAGAGATTATTCAACTCGGCACGCGGCGACGAACGGAGTTGACAGGAATTTCGCTCCGACGGGGGTTGAATTTCGCCCGCCGAAACAATGCAGAGAGAGAGAGAGAGAGAGAGAGAGGGAGAGAGAGAGAACGTCGTGTGTTGTCTACCGATGTTCCGCCTTCGCCTTTAACGTCGCGCGCATACAACACGTGTCGCGATCGCGTGTGTGCGCGATGCGTGCCGCTGCACCTGTCCGAGGCTGTGTGAGCCGCCGCCCCTCGTCTCGTAACTCCGCTAATGCAGTTTTCATCGAGGAAGTTACACTGCGCGACATACGCCAGTAAGAGTAGCGCGGAGTTTCGGGCGGAGATGTCAAGTCCGTACAACGGGAACCGACAGCTACCCTACGATATTTGAAACAAAACGAGGCGAACATTCGGACGCAGGTGTCTCTCCCTGTCGAGGATGAATAATTCTATATGAACTTTTTTTTCTCCCTCTCCTCTGTCGTTCAACTCCATCCGTGACGCTTATTTTGGTAAGAGAAATATTTGTTTCATCGATAAATTAATTTTTATTTCTTGCTGAGAAAGACGTTTCAATTATCTTCGCCTCTAAACCATCAATGATATTCACGTATCACATTTGATATTAATAAATTAACGACACTCGTGCAAATTTCTCTGCGGAAAACAAAACTCTTCAAAAATTTTTCTTGCATTAATAATAATCTATCTGAGTAGTTTGTCATGTAATTTATTAATTTTTAAAGATGGAATCATATAAAAGAGATATTTTAGCATCATGCGCTTCAATGATTTTATATACAATATATACATCTATTTTGAACAACTTTAATAATTTTGACGTTTTGATAGCTCATAAATATTTTGATAATTTCAAATAGATTTGCTATTTTTGATAAAAATATAAAGTTTACAACTCACTATTAAATTGATTATGTAATGATTACGAGTCGCAAAAATATATTGTAGGAGATATGATAAAATAGTAATATATTCCTATAATATAGCACAATGCTATGAAATCATAAATGTAAAACTATATCATAATCCATTATTACGAAAGAATCTAATTATAATTTGCGCTTCAATTAAATCGTATGATTCAATTAATAAATAAATTAATAGAAAAGCGAACGTAGATAATTTACCAAAATCAACCAAAAAGTAGGAACGTGCAGTGCGCAAATTATAATAATGTAATTATATTGCGCGGTACAATAAAATATAATTATCTACCACCTATACATCTAATTTCACGTATGATCGTATTAATTACTGCCAATTTCCTGTCTAATTCCAAAATGCACTCATATAGCGATGACGTATGGCAATTATGTGCTCGCTTAATTATAGAAGTCCGTCGTCGCGACACGGACGGAAAGTCTACACGCGCTACATTTATCGCGGAGAAAAACCTAAATCCGCGGTATTCATATCCGTATCTCGTAGTCGGAATATCGCCGGGATATTGCGGGGGGAGAGCGTATTTTAAGTACCGGAGTAATCCTCCGCCTCCTCTCGATCCGTCTGCCATATCCTTCCGTTCGGTCCCTATCTCCGCCCTGCCATCATTGTGCGGTCGTACGTCTTAGCTCGTAAAACCGTAGCGGCTTATAAGCGTAAGCGGAGGGGTAATCCAAGGCGGCCACCCGTAATTTAATGACGTTTAATATGCAGCGACAGACTATTATTCTGACCTTTGCACCAGCGCGAAATTATCTCAGGACTCCGAATCGGGTCGCGACGTTATTACCGGGAGCGAGAAACGGATTCCCCCTTCCTTCTCCTCCTCCCCCCTCCCCTCCCCCGTCTTTCCCTTCACGCGGTTATTGCACGAAATTTTAAATCACTGCCGAAAGAAATTCTCGCGACGATAAAACATTTGTTCAGATAACACGACGGCTAATGAAATACTGACGGGCTAGAAAAATTTCATTACAATTTCTATTGAATCATATTTTATATATGTGTGAGTGTGTGTGCCCGATATGCAGTATAAATAAAAAATTTATTGTACAAATTAGAGAGCAAACTCGAGGGATTCAAATCAAAATTCATCTCCAGCTAGACTCAATTATTTGATGCCGCGCATACGCCGCCGTCTTCTCGCATAACAAATTCCAATGTTTTATTGACTGAAATAATAAACCGATTAACGAGTAACGTATCTGTTGAATTGACGTAGTAAAAAACCCGGCGAAACGCGAAAATGTCAGACAATATCACGTACGTTTTGCCCGAAGCAAAGAGAAAGATTGCAATGCCACAATTTGAATCTTTTTCCAAACAGAGATAAAACACTTTGCGTTTCTCACGCGCGATGAAATTCTGGCTGCATCGCGAAAACGCCGTTGTTGTAAGGGACGTCGAGTGCACGTCGTCGTCGAACGTTTTCGTCGACGACACCATCGACGGGATATCGCAGATCCCGTTCTCGACTTCCGAGACGACGAGATTCGATGCTCGAGACATCAATCTGGTAAAAAAAAAAAATCACCGTTTTTTTCCTTTTTGTTCTCGCTACGCGACTTTTTACCGATAGTCTCGGAGGCGACTTCAAGATTGCGGTTTAATGCGTCTGGATCATTAATCCATTTAATCACTTCATGCGATCGACAGGCATCGTCTGAGTCGTGTGATTGGTCCATTAAGAGTATCATCGCAAGGACAAATTACGATTAATTTGGAAAAATTGTATTCGAGCAATCTTCGAATGTAAAAATGTAAACTTGCACCGAAAACATGTAACATGTAAAATGCAAAACAAGAAATATGTTTCGATGCTACAAGAAATAGTGGCCCAAATATGACGTTTTTATTCGACTGATAACACTACGTCATTGCTACTGATGCACACAATCTCTTCGTAAATATAACGTTTTTGTAAAAAAAAAAAAAAAAAGCATTACATATATCGTACGCGCAAGAGAGTCGTCACGCTTTTATTATTCGTTAACAATGCGCAATGTACATAATACAGAAATGAAAAATATTCTATTATCATGATCGCGTATCTTACCGCAGACAGCGTGGAAGACGGCCGTCCCTCTTCATCGAGCTTCACCATAGTTCATTCGACACCTGATGAATAAAATATTAGTTCTCATGCATTATGATAAAAATATTTAGGCGGCGAGCTCGTTATAGTCGCGTTTCTCGAGTAATAGTATCTCAATCCAGAGATACTGAGGTAGAGATAGTAAATGGTTCGTTCAATGGGAATGGTTTCAAAGCAGCATACGGACAAGTGTATTGTCTCTTTGGTATTGTGCAGTCTCGTTCTCGAGAAACATTGAAACTAAATATCCAATCGGCTATCTAATGTTCATCATTACAGCTAAATATCGAGTATCAGTAAATGGAACGATCAAACAGACGGGATTTACGGGTCATCCCTACGCAACGACACGAACACGTACATACACAAAAGGGGAGAGGGGGGAAAAGACGCGCGCATTGTCAAGGCACGCACAGATAAGGACGTAATTCATCACATATCTAAACATCGATCAACTAAAACTAGAGATATACGAATCTTCGATCAAAAAAAAAAAAAGAAAAAAAAAGAAAAAAGAAGAAAAAAGAGAAGACAAGTCAATCGGTGTCAATCGAGTCGAAGTAGTGGTGGCGTCACACACACTGCTTGATACGAAAAATCAATCGATATATATATCAATCGGATATACACATATTCATATATATGCGTATACATACAACTTGATACGTGTGAGTCTAAGTACACATATGCAAGGATCGAGTCTGCATGTACGTATGTATAGATATATATGCTACGATTAGTCAAACGATCAAAGGTGGTGATTGGTGTTAGCATGGTTAATCGAGCGACGATCGAGGCATCAAGAGAATAAAGGGAAAGGTAGAGATAGTGAAAGATAGAGAGATATATATAGATAGATAGATATGTATATATATATATATAGATAGATAGATAGATAGATAGATAGATAGAATAATAAGAATACAGGGGAAAGATAGACGAGTATATATTATATGTATGTAAAAGCGAAATCTCTATACGCGTGAGAAGAAGAAAGAAAAAGGAGAAGGACTAGGGCTTTTAGAGAAAAAAATCTACTGACTAATCCTAATTGCAAACCAAACAAACGAACCAACCTCCTCGGTAAGGCCTAGCCGAAAATGTTCGCGGGACCCCTGTAACAAAAACATATATAAATCATAAGAAATCATAGAAGAACAAAAAGAAACAACTACTGAACTTTTAATGAGTGACAGACGTATGTTACAGTAGATATCACATGAGGGCGAGAAGGGTGAAGAGAATCGACTATTTCGGGGTGTCAAACGCGTGTCGACGCGATTTGATCGTCAATATCCCTTCTTTCACGTCGAGTCGTTTGTTCCGACGATAAATCGGTGTCGATATTTCTCGTATTTATTTTCTCTCATTCGTCGTATCATAAAGATTCTGCGGTATCTCTCGTATATATATATATATATATTTATATATTCGTGAAAATAAAAACGATAATAAACAAATCTCTAAAATTCACGAGTGTACGACAATAGTCGGCTCTAAGCACTCGATTCAGGTTAGGAGGCGTAGTCACGCGATCGATACGCGCGTATTTGCTTATAATTGCAAACATTTTTCCGAAACTCCGATCGGGGATCCGAAAACAAAAATATTCCCGTTTGACACCCCTGCAGAGATACACAGTCTGCTTTATACCTTTTTTTCACGGCTGTTGCCAGTGGGGGTACGCGATCGGGGTTGCGTGGGAGGCGAAGGATGGGGGACGAGGTGTTGCATTGTGGTGGCCATCGAGCGCGAAATAAAGTTTGCACCCGTTTTTCGTCCGCGATTAGCCGCTATCGAAAGCGCGCTATCGACTGACGAATAGCCGACCGCAAACCAACCGATCGCGTTTAAACCAGCTCTCAAAATCCGACGCTCTCGACGAGTCTTTAATCAGACGCGACAAAAGTGCCGCGGGGGAAAAAAAAAAGGTGAATTATACGCGGAGTGAAGCGTGCCATTACATCATCCACCGTCGATACGCGACGATAAATCCGTACGTAAAATATTTCGAACCTGTAATTTACAATTTTCAACGCGCGAAAAATATACGGAATAAATATCTCGCGAATTGGTGTGAAATACGGGGAAACACGCGCAGGTCGTATTTAACGCGTTCTACGCGTCGAAACGAAAGCGCGAAACGAAATGAAGACGCGGATAATTATTTTAGGATATTAATTCTCCGATTACGTATCGAGAATGCAACGGGATCTGTACACGTGTGTTTGTTTCTATCTATATAGCCTTGCGGATGTTGAATCGATAATCTCTTTCCTCCTCTCTGTTTGGCATGCAAAGGCATCGCGCGCCGTTCTAATTACTCTTTCGCGCGTAAAAAAAAAAAAAAAGAATGTAATAAACGCGTGATATACTACTGCCTACACGCCGGCGTTTACATACGGTTGTATAGAACCGGCTCGTATGCGAACGCGAAATATTGCATAATAAATCGTATCTTTTATTTCCGAATGTACATCCGGAACCTTTCTTTTTCCTACCGATGCGCGTAAAGCGATCATCACTCGTTCTCTATCAAAGATGAATATCGCTACGTCGAAAGAGAGAGATATACGGTATCTCTTCCTCTCGGTATCGATGATTTGCGCATTTATCGTATTTCGCGAAAATAAATCTCGTTACTACTTTTTTTTTTTCACCCCCCCAATGCGATCTACAAACGCAAACGCGCCGGTAATACAACAAGTTTCTAATTTACAGGCGACCGCGATAAGAGACTCTGATAACGGGGGAGAGTACCTTTTACCGTTTCTGTATTATTCGCATTCATTACATTGCGGAACGCGTTCGCCGGAAGATTAAGTTTCTCCATCCGTTCGCTGCTGCTGCTATGCTTTGTTCCACTCGGCATTACGGTAGTTCATACAGAGAGAAGCGTATTACTATCGCTACGATGGCGCCACGCGGTAACTTATATACGCGGGGAAAGTCGATGGATAAATGCCCCCCATTGTGTAAGTGGTACACCGAGATAACGGCAAAGCGCGCGGATGGAAGCCTTCTCGTCGAAAAATTGAACGTTCTGCGAACGTTACGAGGAGAGATGAAGGGGAATTCTCGGCGAGCTCGCGATTATCTCGAAATTGTTTCTTGATAGCGTGTGACACGAGGTGAGAGACATAAATAGAAATAAAGTATCAGACAAAAGTCGGGATAAACGTTCATACGCGTACGACATGGTTTGCGGTACTTATGAAAAAGTACGTTAAAGGTAGATTATGTATGTGTCTTCGAAAGGAAATTACCGAGATCGAGCCGCTCGCGATAAGAAAAATGGCTGCTACTAAAACTTAACGCAACGTTGTCGTCGAAATGATCTCGCTGCAAACTGGTTATACGACATGATAAATAGGAAAAAATTGCTAAGTGCGATCTCTCAAGGGAAACGCGTATATATCTCGCGGAGAATAAATCAAGCTCGAGATTTTAGACGTCGGCGATAAATACGTGCGCACAGCTGGTTACAACTGCGCGACAATCGATACTTCTTACGCTCCCCCGGTAGTACACGACTTCACTGAATGTTACGAGAACAGCTGTGCGTGCGCGACATCTTAAACTCGGAAGTCTTACCTGCGTTTAAAGACACAGTATACATACACGCGCGCGCGCACACACACATACACACACACACACACACACACACACACACATATACACGACCTCCAACATTTCCATTACACATGTCGAATTTTTAGGTGTGACGAATATATTTCTTAAAATAAAAATAAATGAAGACATTAGAGATATCGATGTAAACAGAAATACAAGAAACGAAAAATGAATCTGATCACTCATCGGCGCGTGACGATCGCCAACAAAAGTTAATCAAGAATCTTGCCGGAACAGTTGGCAGTGATTACGTCGGAAGTAGAAAGTTCCGGTCACAAGGGAGGTTCTGGCGCACACACAACATAATCTCGGGAATTCTACTACGGGAGTAAAGTGCGGTGACGATGGGGTAGATGGGCGGAAGTTGGTGTTAACGGAGGTGCAGCGAAGGTTGCGGGAGGTTCTAAATGTGCGGCGTTCCCGTGTCCGCGCTGTATGTTACATATGTAGTTACCAAGTGTACGTGAAGAGACACAGGCGTGACCGAAAGTCTCATAACACTTGGAAACAGGTGGCGTACTCTCGTACTCTCATCTTATTGCCTCGACTAGTTCGTGCCAGAGGCAGAGAGAAAGAGAGAGAGAGAGAGAGAGAGATAAAGAGAAACGGGATGAGGAAGAAGAAGAGAGAGAGAGATAAAGAGAGAAGTTGAATCTCGCAAAAGTAGGAAAAAGGACGAGAATACGAGAAGCGAAAAAGGCGCGCGGCCAGTTGGCGGACAAACGAGAAAAAAACCAATTCGATGTTAACCGAGTAAAGATGCTCGGCAAAGGTAAGACGGGATGTACACAATAGACACATTTGACTTTGATCACTCCCTCTCTTCCTTCGTCGCGCTCCAAAGTTTTAAGAACCGAACTCGCATTGCGGAGAAAGAATTATTCATTATATTAGAAGCTTAATTGAAGAAACGTACCCAACAATCAGCATGTGATCACCTGTGTAATTTTGTAAGTGATATATCAAAAAAGAAATTAAACTCTAAATCTTAAAATGCTTGCGTTAATACATTCACACATGCCAAAGCTGTCGTGTCTGCGACAAACGTAACTTTTTGTAAAACTGTATTATCATGAAAATTTCCATGTTTGAGTGTTAATTGCGTGATGAAAGATTGCGTCCAGGCAAGTTCAATTATTTGTGTAACAGCTATTCGTTCGCAAATACTAGTATCAAAAATTAAACGAACGGAAAGAATATGCAATAATTATCATAAGATAATTATCTTTAGCTCGTCGCTTGGCTGCCTTTCAATAAGGTTTTGCCAAAAAATCAAAAGATGGTGAAATTAAATCGATAAACCGAGATACATATAAACGTAAAATAACATTCTTTTTTTACGGCAGACACATGCCGGTACTAATATATCTTTGATCACTTAAATTCAGTGAAACAACACCGGTATACACGATCAGACATTGAATGCGACGTCTAATAAGCGTCTTTTTGCACGAATCAGTTTCAGGTTGCATCGCTGTGCACTTGAGACGGCTCACCGTCTGAAAGTTCTCATTTATATAGCCCTCTACTTTCAAACAATTTTCCGCAGACAGACGTAGCATCACTGAAAATTGCTTCGTGCGAAAAGAGTGTACGCGACTGCGCTTTATACAACTACGCCCTATTCCACGAAGCTACTTCGCAGTTTGTCGCTTTACGCCATTACATTTTGCTCTCCTGTTCACATTTTATTTCTGAGCAAACGAAAATCGTGTACAAGCCGAATGTAAAGCGCAATGCGACAAAGTGTAAAATCGTTCGCGAGATAAATATTGATCTCGATATGAAATAAGAAAAACAACTTGTACTCTATATATTAATGGCTATAATACAATGGCTATCAGTTACTATGAAAAATGTATCAAAGAAACATATTAAACGTATAATGTAAAAAACGCAAGAAAATTAAAATGCATACGTCCCGAATAAAATTGATGAAAATGACGTATCTCCCGTAATTTCACGTTCCGCAGGCACAAATACATCTAACGAGAACATGCTTCGGGTAAACAAAACGCAGGCAATCATTCCAGTCTTTGAGAAAGAATACAACGATAACAACAACAACAACATGCAAAATTACAGCGAGAGACAATCACGTGATGCAGATGTCCAAAATAAACCGTCCACCAAAAAAATCATCTCTTCGCAAGAACCATTAATACACACACATAATCGTGCAAGTCGCATCATCTGGCACTGCATGCAAACGTATTTACGAAAGTACGTGTGCTCTCTACCGGTTGTAAGGAAGCGTCGCACAGCAAGTAGCTGTGAAACGTCGAACGCTGCGCGTCTCGGCCTCGAGAGTGTGTCGCACCTGCTCTACGCGTTTTCGGCGTCGTAGGTGATTCTTTTCGCGCCGAGTCTCTCTCGCGTCTCACCCAGTACCAAGGGATAGACATCCTCGGAGCAGACATCCAGCGTGATTCGATTAAAAAACGGCGGCGCGTCCGTAATTCGATCGCGTTGTATTCGCCAA